GGATAGAAAATAGACTGTGTTTTGAGGATGGGAGCAGTTAGTGATTATTAATGGATAGGGGGTTTCTTCTTGGGAGTATGAAAATGTTGTAAAATCAGAATGGGATAATAACTGCACACTGTGAATATACCAAAAAGCACTGAATTGTACACTTCAAATGGATTGTGTGGTATATAAATTATATCTCAGTGAATTCTTTAAGAAATTCATGTTTATCTAGAAAATTTAGGAAAAATCCCCAAAACATAGAAAAGAAATAAGTAATCTAATGGTATCCTACACATCCAAACCTAACATTTTTCCATATTTTCTGTCTTGCTTACTGTGCATGTAGAAATTTATTTGAGGGTAAAGAATATAAATCACACACACAGAATGTAATTCCCTGCTTTTTTAATTGAGAAATTTGGGAACCTCTGACTTAATCATTTCTGATTTATCCTTTCTTCTGTTGTTGGATTTTAAGTTGCTTCTAGTTCATATAGTTTTATCATTCCATCTCATTTATATAATTATTATCCCTATACATGAACTTTTTAATATACATTTTGAGTATTTTCTTAGGAAAGAATCTTGGAAACTGTATTAGTTTCCTAGGGCTGCCTTTACAAATTACCATAAATTTGGTGGCTTACAATAATAGACATTCAATCACAGTTCTGGTGTTTAACAGTAGAAATGAAGGTGTCAGCAGGGTTGGGTCCTTCAGGGTTGGGTCCTTCCGGAGGCTCTAAAGGAGCACCTATTGCACTATGTCTCTCTGCTAGCTTCCGGCGCAGTGGGCGATCTTTGGCCTTCCTTGCCTTGTAGATGCCTCCCTCTAATTTCTGCCACTGCTTTCACTTCTCCTCTGTCTTCTGTCCTCCTCTTCTTCTGTAAGGACACCTGTCATTGGATTTAGTCCCACCTTAATCCAGAATGATCTCAAGATCCTACACTTAATTATATTTGTAAAGACCCTTTTTCCAAATAAGGTCACATTCCCAGTTCCTGGTAGACATCATGCCTTTTGAAGTCCACCACTTAACCCACTACAGAAGCATCTCCAGGGGGTGGGGAGTGGCTGTTGGTAGTGGTCTGTGCCTGGTGCAGGCAAAATAGGTGGGGGGCATTGTTTGTAGAGAACTCAGAACCAACAATAAAGTTGACTGAAAGTCGGCTTGCTTCTTATTTTCATGTACTGGCAATTCTAAACAATATCAATGATAAAATTCCTCCATACTGCTCCCCTATATACCTCAATGCTTGAGAAAAGGATTACTGGGTCAAATAATGTGAATCTTTATGATTCTCATGATACATATTTTCAATTTAATATTCAGGGTGTGGGACTATATATAATATTCTTACATTTATGTGAGATAATAAAAACATAATAATACAAATAAATCAACTGATTTGATAGGTAAGAAATACCTTATTTTAATTTTTGCTAATGGAGGCCAACATATTGAATCTTGTACTGGCTATTTTATACTCTAATAAACCCATTTAAATAAATTTTTTAAATGTCATTATTTCTTGCAAATTAAAACTACAATGAGGTGTCACCTCACACCAGTTAGGATGGCCAACATCCAAAAAACAAGAAACATCAAATGCTGGTGAGGATGTGGAGAAAGGGAAACCCTCCTACACTGGTTAGTGGGAATGTAAATTAGTTCAACCATTGTGGAAAGCAATATGGAAGTTCCTCAAAAAACTAAAAAAGAAATACCATCTGACCCAGGAATTCCATATACCCAAAGAAAACAAGATCCTTGATTCAAAAAGACATATGCACCCCTATGTTTATCGCAGCACTATTTTACAATAGCCAAGATATGGAAGCAACCTAAGTGTCCATCAGTAGATGAATGGATAAAGAAGATGGGGTACATATACACAATGGAATATTATTCAGCCATAGGAAGAAAACAAATCCTACCATTTGCAACAACATGGATGGAGCTAGAGGGTATTATGCTCAGTGAAATAAGGCAGGTGGAGAAAGAGAAGTACCCAATAATTTCACTCATTTGTGGAGTGTAACAATAAAGCAAAATGTAAGAACAAAACAGCAGCAGACTCACAGATTCCAAGAAAGAGTAGCGGTTAACAAGGGGAAGGAGATGGGAAAGGAGGGAGAAGGGAATTAAGGGGCATTATGATTAGCACACATGGTGTGGATGGGGGTCCCAGGGAAGGCAGTATAGCACAGAGAAGACAAGTAGTGACTCTATAGCATCTTACTACGCTGATGGACAGTGACTGCAAAATGGGGTGTGTGTAGGGGACTTGATAATATGGGTGAATGTTGTAACCACAATGTTGCTCATGTGAAACCTTCCTAAGATTGTGTATCAATGATACCTTAATAAAAAAAATCAGTATTTCTGTTAGATTATGTGAATATATTTTTCTTATTTATTTGTAAGAACTCTTTTTATAGTAAAAATATGGGACTTTTATATCATTGCATTTTTGCCCTATGTTTCTGTTTTACTCTCTTTAGATAACAGATTATTTTAGTTTTTACATAGAGTTTTCTTTATGCTTTCCTTTATTATATGACAGTATTTGTCTTAAAAAAATGGTTGTGACTCATTGGCTGTATCTTCCATCAGGATGAGAACAAAGTCAGACTGTTGCAAATAGTAATGGCTCTGTCAGAAGTTTCTATGAAATGAAGATTGGATTTTCTTTTAAAGTAGAAGTGTAGGAAGAATTTCACTCCCAATATCACATGGGAAGTATTACCAATGAGCTACTGACATGGAATCTGAGGACACTGAACACCATCAGTTTCTAGCCCCTGATTTTATAGGCAGGCTTCAGAAACTCTAAGACCTTGGTGATTGGTCTGAAACTGGGACAAAAGGTACATTTTTGGAATCTCAATCCAGTGCTCCTATAAACCCCACAACATGGATGGAGCTAGAGGGTATTATGCTCAGTGAAATAAGGCAGGTGGAGAAAGAGAAGTACCCAATAATTTCACTCATTTGTGGAGTGTAACAATAAAGCAAAATGTAAGAACAAAACAGCAGCAGACTCACAGATTCCAAGAAAGAGTAGCGGTTAACAAGGGGAAGGAGATGGGAAAGGAGGGAGAAGGGAATTAAGGGGCATTATGATTAGCACACATGGTGTGGATGGGGGTCCCAGGGAAGGCAGTATAGCACAGAGAAGACAAGTAGTGACTCTATAGCATCTTACTACGCTGATGGACAGTGACTGCAAAATGGGGTGTGTGTAGGGGACTTGATAATATGGGTGAATGTTGTAACCACAATGTTGCTCATGTGAAACCTTCCTAAGATTGTGTATCAATGATACCTTAATAAAAAAAATCAGTATTTCTGTTAGATTATGTGAATATATTTTTCTTATTTATTTGTAAGAACTCTTTTTATAGTAAAAATATGGGACTTTTATATCATTGCATTTTTGCCCTATGTTTCTGTTTTACTCTCTTTAGATAACAGATTATTTTAGTTTTTACATAGAGTTTTCTTTATGCTTTCCTTTATTATATGACAGTATTTGTCTTAAAAAAATGGTTGTGACTCATTGGCTGTATCTTCCATCAGGATGAGAACAAAGTCAGACTGTTGCAAATAGTAATGGCTCTGTCAGAAGTTTCTATGAAATGAAGATTGGATTTTCTTTTAAAGTAGAAGTGTAGGAAGAATTTCACTCCCAATATCACATGGGAAGTATTACCAATGAGCTACTGACATGGAATCTGAGGACACTGAACACCATCAGTTTCTAGCCCCTGATTTTATAGGCAGGCTTCAGAAACTCTAAGACCTTGGTGATTGGTCTGAAACTGGGACAAAAGGTACATTTTTGGAATCTCAATCCAGTGCTCCTATAAACCCCACTCTCTCGTTTTATATGATAGCTACATTCCCCAAATGCTTTTTTTTCTGTAAAGCATTTATTTCACTGCATTCTTCCTTATTATAATGATACCACATGTTGATTATGGAAAAACTGAAGAAAATATGGATAAACTCAGAAGGAAAACAATTTAAGACACCTTGGGATCCCCCCATCGCTAGAGATAACTACTGTTAACATTTTTGTGTATCCTTCATTAACACTGTGTGTGTGATTATACAATATTGTATATTTTGTGTTAAAATATTAATGTTTTATAGGGTCAAAAGATTTATCAATTTAATGGCTGCATAGTATTCTATCATATGCATATATTCAAATTCATGTATTGATTTCCCAACTTTATATTTAGGTTCTGAAAGCTGCAATTACAAACACTGTGGAAAGCCTTGAAAATATTTCTTTTTACAGTTCTTATTAGTAACTTTAAGATGGTTTCACACAAGTAGACTTTCTTTATCAGGATTTAGATTTTGATTCACAGGAAAGGCTTACTTTTATTTTAAAAAAATTTAATACATACAAAAGGAGAGAAAATATTATAACAGATCTCCACTTTCCTTTCTCCAGGCTCCCTTCTAGCCTTTAAAAGGAGGATATTCAAACAATATGTGCCTGTCTCTTTAGATAGATCGTTTTGCCCCTTGAGATGCTGTTTACTTAGCACCTACTAAGTGCTAGATCCTGTGTTGACCTGTTTACAGCATATTTCATCCATTATTTTTTATATGTACTTTATATAGATTTTACGGGCCAAGAAGCTGCAAAATGAATGAATAAAGAGTCACAGATTCAATTAGGTTTTAGAACCTGAGTTCCAACCGGGCTGACCAGCTTGTCCAGTTTGCCTGGTACCATCCTGGTGTTAGCACAGGAAGTCCGGCATCCCAGGAAGCCCCGGGTGGGTTCCCAACAACCTGGGGCAGCTGCCCCCTCTAACTCCTAGCCCGTCTCCAGCAGAATGGTTTAAGATATGCCATTTTAGAGTACCCCATTTCCAACAGACTGGAACCTTGAAGATAGGAAGAATTGGTTATTCCCAAGGGAGCACGGATTATCCTTGGTTTTAGAGTATTTATGTCTCCCGTAACGCCGGATATTTTGTTTTTCAGGTCTCTCCATGTGCTCGTGTGTAATGCAGCAGCTTTCGCTGTACCCTGGAGCCTCACCAAGGATGGCCTGGAGACCACCTTCCAGGTGAACCACCTGGGGCACTTCCACCTTGTCCAGCTCCTTCAGGACGTCCTGTGTCGCTCAGCGCCTGCCCGAGTGGTTGTGGTCTCCTCGGAGTCCCATAGGTGGGTGGGAATGTGATGTTCCGTTCACTTGGCCCCTTCCTGGCACCAGCTAATTCTCCCCCAGGGCTCTCTTTCTGAAAATGGTTCTCCTTAGTACCACTCTGAAAAGTGTGCGTGCATTCAGCCTGGCTTAACTTCATTTTTCGAGGACTTTTTCACTTTGTGATTGTGGGGGAAGATTTGGGGGTTTCGTTTACAGCAATGTAGATTATTTTTACAACTATACTTCAAGCCCCTCATTGATTTTGCTTCGAGATGGAATAATAATTGATTAAATCTGAAGGCCTGACCTTTATTGATTTGTCATTCAACTACTTCAACATCTCACCAAGAAGAATGTGAAGTTATTCTAGCAGAAGAAACAATGCAATTAAAGACTGTGAGATGAAATCCAATTGTTTTATAATGAGAAATTAGGGAATTCAATGCAGACATTAGCTGTGTAATTGTGGAAAGGGAAGTACTGTAGTTAGAACGTATTAGAAATCTGGCCATGCCTCTTTTGGTTAAAATTTCAATTAAAACGTCAGATGGCACTTCTTTTCTATTGCCATTAGGAGAATATTCAATTGACTAAAAAAGACATTTGAAAATTTCATCGTATTTTCAGCATCTTTGTTCCTACAGTTGGATAAACAACTATTTGTCTAAAGAGAAGTACTCAGAAAAGACAAAGGACTTGCTGGGTGAGGCTGGATTTAATATATGTTAGGGAGATTTTCCTGGTCTGGTTGGGAGCTTTCACTCTTCGCAAAGTAGCTGGAAAAAAATAATGTGCAAGGGCCTATTTTTTCCCCCTTCTTCTCCGTCTTAAGTCCTGAAATGTTTTAGTGACCCAGAGTAAAGCTTATTTTTTTAATCATTCTCCCATAAAATGTAACCCCTGGGACTTGGAAGAGAGAGACCAGCCAGGGGTTAGCCTGAACCCTTTATCACTCCCAAACACAGGGGCTTATGGTATAAGTGACACATTGCAGATAGATTTACTTTTACCATTTTAAATTTATGATGGCTGAAATGAAAGGAAAATGCCGGCAATAATCCTCCCCCGCGTTAAAAGACATGAAACATCTAGTAATTAGGTGGTAACAAAATCTGGACATCCTTATCTTCGCAAATCATAGCAGGTCTGTGAAAGAAAGTGGAGTGGCCCTGTGCTGGAGTGAGAGAGGCTACCGTGGGGGCAGGCGCGGGAGCGCGAGCTCCGGAAATAAATCTGCCAGCCCCAGTCGTTTGCCAGATGTGGAGGGCACCCCGGGATATGTTTAAATGAGCCGGTATTTAATGGGAGACGGTTGAATCGTAGCTGCTCGCTTCCCTTTGTAAATCTGTATCTCAAATGCTCTTTCATGTGTCGTCTTTGTTCTCTCCTTAACTGCAGTGTAATTCGTGCCTACCTTGGAGATCTGAACCTTAATTTCATTTAAAAGATGGATCACAAGGAAGGGCCTTCCTTGGTCTCCCGAATTAGATCCATTGTAGTTTATAGACACGGCCTCCCTGAAATGTGTCAGGCCCACTCCTGTCTGGTGACTGGCACTGGTTTTCTGCTTTCTGATGGTGCTTTGCACATATTAAGGGGCATTTTTACAAACTGTTAATTCCCGCAAGCTGGTTTGTTGATTACACTTGTAGTGCCTCCCCTGGCACCCAAAAGCTAGTGTGAGTACTGGGTGTGCAGTACTGGGAAAGCTCTCCCTCACCGCTCAAGGACCCAGGGCTCTTAAACCATGCTGGAAAATGGAAGTGTTGATATCTAATTACCTCCATAAACTTTGGCGGAATCTCTTCATTGGAGTCAAGACCCCCTGTTAGGGGAAAAAAATAAAGTCCTATGTCTGCAGAAAATATTATACCAGACTGCCCCCAGGCAAAATATTTATTAGCCTCCCTGTGTCTTCACTGTATTTTAGTTACTTATCTGGAGTCTAAGCAGGTGAATTGAGTTCCTGCATACCTAAAATACATCATATTAAAATGAGAACTTGACTTCTTGCTGTGAAAAATCTTCAGATAACAATTAACATAGAATGAAAAGAGTGGAGGGCTGGTTGCACGACTGTAAATGGCTGCAGCTGTGTTGCCTGCCAAGCTGCCTCACACACGCACATGCGTACACACACACACGCGTACACACACACACACACACACACACACACACAGCTTTGGATGCAAATTCAGTCCTATTCTTTGAACATGCTGGCTTTTGTCTACATAGAATCCAGCCTAATTATTTTACTTTGGTAGTTCAAAAATCCTCAGTGGGAAAAAAAAAAAATGGAGCAGTATATATAGAAATACAAGACAGAGGTCCCCTCAAACAGCAAATGTTAATGTCCGGAGAGTAAATGTTACCATTTTAGTGCACTGGTAGGCAGATAATTCTGTTAAGATGTTATTGTTTGGCTGTGTCAACTTTTCAACTTGGAAATACAGAAGGCAGCCTCCCAAGAGTTGTTTTATGCTTCTACAGCGGAGAGGTGAACATGGTCGTTTTTCAGGAAGCCTGCCTTGGTGCAGAGGTATCAGAAAGCTCGCCCACCCTTCCCGCTTCCTGGAGGACTGTCAATACAAGCTAATCAGCCCCTAAAAATGGGTTTGGTGCCTAGGAGATGAGCAGGGCAAGAGCTCAGGGGTCTGCTCCTGGGGGAGGCCGTTGGCAAAGGGCGGGCCTGATGTTTCATAGTCATGTCTCTCAACTTGAAACCTTGCTTTAAACTGGTTCCATCTCGTTTCTCATCATGGTGGGTTTGGTTTTATTGCCTTTTTTTCTAGAACTGGGACTCAGCATAGATGCCTTTTCTCCTCCTAGGAGTTTTACCCAGTGTTCCCCAGTCATGAGATACTTCTGTGTTGTCCTTAAAAATCAAAGCAGAGAACTTGTTCTGAACATTCTAGGAAGTGCCACATTATTAATGAAGAACACAGAGGCTCTGAATCCAGTGATATATTTTGCCTTTTGATTAAAATTCAAGACTAATTCCTTTTTTTTTTTTTTTCGTGTAATAAGGGAAACTTAGTCCTTAGTTTGGAATTCTAAATCCATGATTGAACTTCAGTTGTCTAATCCTGTATTTATTCCTTGCTCTGTGTTGGACACTGTGATAGGCAACATGCAAGCGGCTCATTGTCCACCTCCCAATAATGAACAGTCTAGGGTTGGAACCAGGTGAACAGTGACCTGCAGCTGGCATAGTAAGGGCAGAGACACAATTTCAGAAAAATTTAAAGATGGCATGGCTTGCTTTGTTACTGATGTTGGAGGGGTGGCAGGGTCATTGAACACTAAGAATTTCTTGGACTGGGACCTGAAGAGTGGATACTTAATTTCCGTGGAAACATGTATTTCAGTCTGCTTTGCATGGCTTCTTTCAACCTACCCCCTATTGCCACCTAAAAAACCACTGTGACAATAAGCAGTGGAAGGGTTAGGGAGGGCTTCCTGGAGGAAGTGGCACCGGAGCTGGGTTGGACTAAACAAATATGCCAAGAAAGGTTTCCAGCAATAGGTGGTGAAAGAAGAGTGGAGAGTGTTTGAAGGTTGATATATTTATCTCATACCTTGTAGACATTGTCTAAGTCCTTGATAAGCTTTTTTTACTCAGAGTAGGTAGAATTTCTAAGACATGACCCTTACCTTGGTTGGTTGGGTTCTCAACAACCCCTTTTTGTAATAACTCATCTATAATACCTAATTATTTTATTAAAATAAAGTTCAGAAATAATATAACTTCCCTGAATAAATATATTTTATTGAATCTGCTAGCTTAACGGTCATGTAAGGACAAAGAATAATATGAAGCAAAATGGCATTTATTTTAACATGTTAATGCTTGGGCAGGACCACAGGAAAGATAAGTAGTCAGACGTGCATGTCCCTCTGTACATCACCTCCCCTGGATACCTCGCAAGTGCAGACTTTTAACAGATATGTGGTATTGCAGACCCAGATGCCACCAGCAGCATTGGGTGAAGCCTCACCTCCCCCGAAACCCAGCCAAATCTGGAAGTGCTTTCATTCCTCATTTACACAGTATCAACATTGCATTCCAGGAAATTCCATGGATGTCAAAGCGGTGCATACGTGTAAAGCACAGCTAGGCTCTAGGCTCAGATAATTATACACGGGCTTTTCATCTGCATGAACGTCCAGTGGGGCAGTCTTAGTTGAGCAAGACTCTAGTCTTCATTGCAGTACGCCTCCTGTGCCTGGTCCCCCACCAGCAGTCATTATGACAACCAGAAGAAAGACCCCCATAAATTTTCAAATTTCCCGCTAAGTTCCACTGCTTTAGACAATTAAGCTTATAAGTCTGGGCTCTTCCTGTGGTTTGGGGACTCGGAAACAGGCAGTCAACAATGAGTTTCAAGGTCTCACTCGTTGCCACAACTCTGATGACGTTTCTGGCCATCGGCTTTGTTGATGGCTTTAGCGCAGCAATGTCATTTAACCCTGGGAATGGGATGTCACTGCCTGAGTCCTGGAGCACGGAATATTTCATTTCCATTAAAACGTGAACGTCAGTTGCCCCTGTGATACTTTCCTTGGTCACAGCTCAGCCTGAGCTGCTCCTATTAAGAGACAACCAGATTATTCCACGATTTTCCTCTCACCTTCTGTTTTCCGTGGCAGTAATCGAGAGTACTTTCATTACGCTTCCCTACCACTCAGTCCAAGTGCCCGGAGTTCACGTAGTGGAAGCAGCCGTGAGGGAGTCTTAACAAAAATGAGACCATCATCTCCTTTAGTTATGATAAAAGGATAAACAGTCTTTTATAAAAAAATAATTTTTATAAAAAATTCCTTTTGTTATGATCCTTCTGTTTTGTTTTAGGGCAGCCACTGTTTTGTTGCTTAAAAAAAAAAGAAAGAAAGAAGGAAAGAAACAAACAGCTGGTGTTTAACGACTCCGTCAGACCCAATTATAAAGCATCAACTACTTACTTTGATTTGTGTGTACCCATGCCATGGGTACACTTAAAAACAGTAGACTCTGCCAGAACTCATTTTGGCTTTGTTTACATTTATCTCTTAAACGTATAAGACTATTGATGGCACCTCACCAAGGTTATAACCCCTTTATAATCATTAATTTTTAATCTGGAAAAAGAGTCTCGGGGGCAGCAAGACTCATTTATATTTACTGGGTCGCTCCCATGAAAATATACAGGACTCAGACGCTGGCTAAAATAACCCAGGAAAGCCCCGTCAAAGGTTAGGAATGCACTATCTTTCTGCTTCCAAAAGCAGCAGCCCGTTATTTAAGATGCTTTTCCATTTAATTTAATTGTCCTTGAACTTCCTGTTGAAGGATTTGGAAAATGTATGTTAGAGGCAGGGGGAGTTCAGCACGTTAAGACGGCTCCGTTGGTGAGTTTGGGCCTTTATGAAGTCCATCCTGGCATCCCGTTGGTGTACATTGGTCAATCACCACAGCCTATTTTTAAGGAGATTTTGTTCCAATGTTTGCGTAATTGGGTTTTCAGTAGTCTCTGTGTAGTTTCCTCAGATTTCTAATAGAGATGAAAAGCGATATTGAAAGTCAGAGGCTGGCTGCTTCATGTCTGATTTCCTATTCTTTTAGATTTACAGATATTAACGATTCCTCGGGAAAACTAGACCTGAGCCTCCTTTCTCCATCTAAGAACGACTACTGGGCCATGCTGGCTTACAACCGGTCCAAACTCTGCAACATTCTCTTCTCCAACGAGCTCCATCGCCGCCTCTCCCCACGTGGGGTCACGTCTAACGCCGTGCATCCTGGGAACATGATGTACTCCAACATCCATCGCAGCTGGTGGGTGTGCACGTTGCTGTTCACCTTGGCCAGGCCTTTCACCAAGTCCATGGTAAGTGAGCGGCGTCTAGCGCCGCGATCACCTTCATGTGGCTTTATGGACGTGCATGTTTTCTTCGGCCTCTTGCCTCTTCTAATGAGTCTGGTCTTGATAATAACATCATCAGGCCGATTAAAGCCGTCGGAAAGGGCTCTTGAACACATTTCAATTAGATTTAGATTGCATCTGTTTCTCTGAAGGTGTCTCAGAGGGCTGGCCAGAAGATGGTTTTTCAATAGTGTGTTAAGTATGGCTGAAAGTCTTGATGCAAATGATTTGTTTTCTTTTGATGTGATTTTGTTTTTTATTATTCAGAAAGCTCAGTACTTGAAAACTGTGTTATTTGTTAGTAGGTGGGAAACATGGGTTTGTGACTACTGCGTTTTATCAGCAGATGGGATACCTGGGTTTCCACGGAAAATCTGTACGTGATATTCTAAATTCTTCCTTTAATGGGTATGAACCTCTCCCAGAGAATCTCTCATTGTCTAGAAGTGCATTTTATTCTTTACTTCCCCAAAGATGAACCCTTTTGGATGAGACCCACTACTGTGGTTAGATTGGGAAAAAATGCAAAGGTAAATTCAAAGTTTTTGTGTTTTTGATGGTTGTATAATAGCCATATCTCGAAATGTCTTCCATGAAAGCATTTTAGTAGGAGGCAGTTTGAATGAAGAATGCACATTTTACACAGTGTATTTGGGCTGGTGCTTTTCTAAGTCACAGGCCTTTAAAAATGTTTTCTTAGTAGAGGACACCAGTATTCCAGCTAACCAAATTTAACATCTAATCCTCACAAATCACCCTTTCCCCAAACACAGATTGGCCTATAGAAGTATCACAAGTCAAATCTTTATCTTCCAACATCCTGAGCCAATGATCCTCAAGGCGTCTGGATATGGCCTGCCTGCTTCTCCTACGGTCGTTCCCACCTTGAGTAAGGCACTTGGCCATTGTAAGCCTGTTTCCTCAACCAAAACAGCAATACAGGTTGGCAGGAGGATTGTCAGTAGCAGATGTAACGTCTATGATGATGGGTGTAGAATTTCTGCTGTGATTTTCACCTGGCGATCCATGTTGGTAGCCCCCCCAACCACATGTGGCTGTGGGGCGCTTGAAACGTGGTTGGCACAACAGAGTAACTGAAGTTTTGATTTGGTTTTGTTTCAGTTAATTTAAATTTAAATAGTGGCATGGGCTTAACAGCTGCCATCTCTACAAGCAGGGTTAAATAAGGTACCCAGCACAGAGTCTGATGTGTAGAAGGTGTGCAATACTTCCTGCCATGGTGGTTGTTATTCATGCAGTTATTATATTTTTAGAGAGGATTGTTCTCCAAAAAGTAACCACTGCTGTTGCATACGAGGGTCACAGAATAAAGGAGTCTGGTTTGGGGGTCTGACATTGGGGGTCTGGTGGTGGTATCGGGTGGACCTCTGTCCCTGTCCCCGAGGCCCGGGGAGAGGGTTATTGGCAAGGCGGGAGGGATGTCCGGATGAAGAGAACTTGGTCTGGTGATCTCCCTGTACAGCCGGTCCCCCAGAAACCATAACAGAGTGGACTTCCCACATTCCTGTCCCAGAGTTATTGAAAAACAGCGTCTTTTATATGCTACAACTGCACTTTAAAGCATGAAGGTGAGGAAGACTATGAATGATGTACCTAAGTCTAGATTCGTAGGAAAAGCCTCTCTAATCATATCTTTATATATTTAGGTATCTGGTCTTAATAGCCATCAGCGTTCCATATGCCTAGGTTTTTAAAAAGGTGGAATGGGAACTCTGGACAAACTTGCCAGACTCACAGCTGGTCGCTTCTCTTACATGAACACGTAGGCCTCTGTGTATGCAGGAGAGGAATCAGCGTGAGTGTAGACCTGGGATCAATCTGTTCCACTGGTAGCATAGACTGGGCTGACTGGGAAAGTCTCTCTCCTGTTTTGTCCTTCCGCACTTGGCCTGGCATTGCTTCTTACATGATAAGACAGTTGTTTCATGGACAAACGGTGCACTTCTGCCATTGTAGTGCAGACTTAATTTTGGACATATGCTGTATAGTTGCATCCCCATTCTCACCCCATGGAAAAGCTGGAATCCTAAATGCTCAAGAGGAAGCTTAGCGTCCCTGTCGCAGATGGCTAGCGTTCTGTTTGTGCTGCATAGCCTCGCCTGCATTTCACTTCAGAGAAAGTGTTTTCCTTCTGACACGAGTGTCGCTGGAGCACACATTCCATTGCACAAGGTCAAAGGAACAAGAAACACAGCCCGGCCTTGTGCTTGGAAGCCCTGGCTTCGCTTCGCCGCTGTAGCTAGCTGCCCCCTTAAGTATTAAACAGCAGTATTCTAATATCAATGTCCCTTTTTTATTTGCTGTGACTTGCTGTGACTGTGGTGATTTTAGTTACAGTAATTAGGTCACCCTTCATGGAGTCAGGCTATTTTAAGTGCCTCTTTAAGGAATATTGTTGCAGATCAGTAATTTTACAATTGGATGTTCTTGTGCAACTTTATTAAATGTAATCTGTCTTTTAAATGTTGTCCTTTTACAGTTAGACATTTCTAATTGTTGCTGTAAATGCATTATCACTTTGAAATTAATTAATTTTTCCATTTTGGCCGCCTGCAGTATAATAATCACTAATGAGAAACTCATAGGGATTAATGCTCAGTGCAGCGACCCCTACTGGTCAAGCCTCCTGCCTACCTCTTCTTCGAGGTCCAGAGATGTGTCAGGGCAGAAGTTTGGGGATCCTAGGGGAAAAGCATTTGTCCCCCTTCCCTAAAATTTATGACAAAATAAAAATACTAGATAAAAACGAGTGTAGGATTGTTTTAAAAAATAGTGTTAAAAAAGATGCAATATTCTTCAACTAGATGTTTTTGAAGCATCTTAAAGGAAACTAGAGTTTGCTGGGAGCTTTCTAATAATGAAGTCACATCCATCAGATATGTGCAATATGTTTATTTTCCTGTCTCTCTAGCAGTTAAAATACTCTAAAATTATATTTTACATGTGTAGATATTAATATGTACTGTATGTTAATATGCATAATATACTCATATATACATATTTGTCCTCTCTGGGGCTTAGTTCACAAAGCCAGGCATATCGTACGATGCGGCGGCAGAAGAGAGTTTCAGGGGCCCTTTGGCTGGTTGTGACTGTTGCCCTGTGTGATGACTGTGGATTCCCACCATACTCCCACCAGTAAGACGCGACCTGGTACTCAGGCCAGACATCACGATGCTGTCTGTATGAGCATGTATGTCTTCATTTATTCCTCACCACAGGGCTACAATGTTAGAATCCATTTTCCTTATTTTGAAGTTAAAAAGCACAGAGAACTTACCCAGTTTGTTCAAGAAAATGGTATGTCAGCCTTCAGACCCTTCGCCAGCTACTCCGAAGTCCATGTGCTCTGTGGAAGCTTCCATACACCCCTGCCGTACATGCTCTCCGTCGGACAGTTATATTTCCTTTTTAAAATGTTTGAAAGTACCTTCTTGATATTATCTCTCTCCCCACCCCACTTTCCTTCCCCCACATTAATCTCCAGTTCCGGTAAACAACACAGTAGCTGAGTTCCTAGGTCTGAGCCAGCCCTTTGCGGATCCGTATGTAAATTCGAATCCGAACACCATCACGTGCCTCTTTGGGTGTTTCGTGCAACCAAATATTTGCATTGGCAGGTAACAGTAGAAAGAGTATCATGTGTTAGGGTAGCAAGCGCTTAGCAGATGTTTTAGGGACCTGCGTTTTCAAATCGTTTTACGTTAAAATATGGCTTGAGTTTGGAGAACTTCTGGAAAGATCGGGTTACTTTTCCCGGGGCCATGTAAAGCCAGTCATTGTGCTGAGTTTTAACAGATGTGCAGCTACTCTGCTAATGGATGGGCCTGCAATGCCGGTTCTGTTGCAAAGTTATAAATTATAACTAGAAAAAGCACAGGATGTCATTCTTCTAACCTTCGGGAAAGCCAAGCTGGGTAATTCTGCCCTTGAATAACCCGCTGCAGGGTGATTTATAGTCGTACAATTTAAAACATAATGAAGGAGATAATAGATGTTGATTTGTTCTTTAAATTAGTATTTCAGAAAAATACTTCTCCCCCCTTTCCTTCAAATACCTGCAGCTGCCTACACTCCAGATAGCACCAAGGGCAAACCCCCTTGATAGAATCATTATTGGTGCACTGGAGTAGAAAGTGGGGACCTTTCTTCTGTGTTGGGAGGGGGGAAATACCATTTTCAAAGTGGAAATTTCAGCTGATTTTGCACTAATCCAAATAATCTGAGACTCCCGAGTGAGGGTTGAATCCTTTGGCCGCCTCGCCCTTGCCCGTCCAGATAGGTTAGGAAACCAGACTCCTAAGACCCCAGGGCGGTTGGGCCACCCTCGAGCTCTCCAGAAAAGCCTCACAGAAGGGCCCTGTGGCTGGGCTCTTCTCTCTGAGGTCACGTTCCATGCAGCCTTAAATATTCTTCCTTTCCAGGATTATCATTAACGTTGGTTTTATTAGTCATCTCGTAATTCTATCCAGAGCTTTCAAGCTAAGAATGGTTGCTCAGTTCAGAGTCCAAAGGATATGGTAGAATGAAAAAGAGCAAAACATTTAGAATCATTAGGCCTGTATTCAGAACTCAGGTTTCTTCCGTTTTTTTTAGTTGTACGATTTTGAAATGATTCGGCCTCTCTGAGTTTATTTTGTACATCAGTTTTCATGTTTTGGGCTATGAGTTATTAACACCCAGTTAAAAGTGGTTGGACTAGTAGAGCTTTGTTTTTGTCTTATATGTCTTTGCTCTATAGGCAGCTCCTTCGTGATTGTCTTGCCTTTTCCCTCATGTATATAATATAGCTGCAGGAGCACAAACCATTGCATCCTCAGGAATGAGGTCTGCAGGCAGGATGGGAGGGAGATGGCCCCTCCTTACACACCTTCCTCCTTAATCAAGGAGGAGAGCATTCTGTCTCAGAACTGTCCTCCCTAGTAGACGTCCCTCTAGTTCCT